AAAGGATTGCAGTACCTTCACCTATGGTCTTTGCCATAAACAGTAGGTGAGGAGGAATACAAATATATGAGGAGAAAGGGAAAGAAAAAGTTTACCACCAGGCAAAGCAAGTTTGATTATATTTTAAAGAAAATTTCTGTTCAGCTCAATTCGGTAAATCAATTTCCTACTAATAGGAGCACTTGGCATTTTGATTTGCTTTCTTTTAAAAAATAAATATAATTTTAATGACACTTCAAGTATGACTGAATGTGTATCCTATTTACCTTAAATCTGAGAAGAAAAGCTTGTGAAGTCTGATCCCAAACAGGCAACCCACAGAGATCACTGGAGCTGTAATGGCTCTTTCTTCTTCCTGTACTTTTATCGCACTGAATGGCGAGAAAAAATACATACATCAACTAAATAATCAACTATTCTATACATTTCTGTTTAATTTGAATTTAGGGTTATGACTCACTTATTTTCATTCATCTTTCACTGTTGGTTTTTCAGATGTTGCCCTGGGATGCCAAAATCAGTATGTATGATATGGCTGTATAAGGTATATGTCCATGCTTATATTCTGTGTTTTCTATCTGGAGTACAGGATTCCTTTGCTTTGAAATTACAGAGGTACAAAATTCAGACTACTGGCAAGAGCATGTCTGATGAGTTGTGCTCTTGATTCACAATTATACGACAGTGAGCCATCAGCTGGAAAAGCAAATCAATAGTGCTTGAAGTGCTCTTTAAGGTTACCAGACCACAGCTTATTTCTGACAGGATTTTTAGAAGGTGTTATCATGAAGATAAGTGTCAGAAGTCTCAAAAATAAAATTATCATTAGGGATTATTCTGTACAATACTCAGAGGTATTTTACCTTTTCATTAAGGCAAAATTGCAAGCATTTTTTTCTAGCCTGCAAATAACCTCATGCATGGTCAAAGCTAGTTATTAAAAAGCTCAAGAGATGACCACTCTAAACTCCATTCAGGTCACATAGGATAGTCTGTCACTACAGTTGTATAAAGAATTATTGTACAAGAAGGTGAAAAAAAATTTAAATGTAATTAATCAATAAATTAATTAACTTAAGAAAAATCTTTGGCTGTGATGTGACTACACTATTTTTCACATCTTTCAATTAAACCTGCAAAAGATTTGGAATTTAAATTTTTTTTGCTCTCAAAACGTAACTTACCCTCTCACAACCACCTGAAAAGACTCTTTTATACCCTCTTTTTTTTTATCTCTGACAATATCTCCAAGGCCTCTCACATTTCCAATAAATCCACAGTTGCTTCTTGACCTTCACTTTCACAGAAATTAGTGAGACCTGAGGGAAATGAACCTTGCAGGATAGCTCCCCAGAAGCTCAGATCATAATAAAGTTATCTGTAGTATTCTACTGATACAGAAGCTTTTAACTAATTAATTTTTAAAAGGAAATAGTGAAAAGATTCTCTTTTGTCCATTGAAAATCCTCATATAATGAGCTATGTAAATCACAGCTATGTAAGCGAAGAGTGAAGAAGTCTGCAGAGCTAATTCACCTCCGTGCAGATTCCCTCATGATGTGTACAGCTTCTTTCTATAACACACTGTATGAAAGCAAGCTGAAGGAAAACCCATATACAATAAAATAAGTCTTTTGATTTATTAAACTCTGCTATAACCACTGAATATTACCATACTGCATAAAAGCAGTTTTAATATTCATGTCAAAAATCCTCACACAGAGTGCCTCTCTCTTCGCTCTTCACTCGCTCCCCTTGAGTGCATTATTTCTGCAGAGAGGCAATTATTTTATTGTGTTGACTGTAAACCGTGATCTAGGAATACCATTCAGCAGCTTCCAAAAGGACAGCCTGTGAGGTGGCGGCTGTCCCAAAACATCTGAAAGCTCCAGAATTGCTCTAACATTTGTCTCCACCACTACATGGCATCTGCTGGGAATCTGCTAAACATTCAATTATTTCCCATGCTATTTAAGGCTTTCTCATTTCCATTCCTTTCTGTTTATTTCAAACCTGTTATTCTAGTTTTAATTATTTTCAATTATCTTCTAGTTTTTTCTGTGCACGGTCTATTCCTCTGCTTATTTAATTACCGTGGCCAGAATATCCATAATATTATATAAGATTTTAGTTTAACCTTGTAAGTCCCAGTAGAAAATGCAGATGTAGTCTTCAGTTCCCCTAGAGGACCCTGGTCATGTGTCTAGCTCAGCAATTCTATAGCTACAAACACAGTACATGAATAAGTGTTGTAAATCAAGTCATTTTGTTGAGAAGAAACCCCTGACCCCTTCTGGTTTGTATGCTACTCTTCTCCTTGAGTTTGGCCACAGGAAGATTGTGTTTGCTGTCTTTTAACTTTGTTACAACAGACACAATAAAACTGTGAACTCTGTGCTGCAAAAAAACAATTTAGACATGACATGCTTTCTCTATCCTGAATGCCCCAGGCTTGGGTCAGGTGGGAAATGTTGTTTTTGAAAATCTGGCAAAATGTATTTTGTTTGTTTGTTCTGCAAAGGTAAAGAATCAATAGCAACAAGAACGAAAAAGGTCAGACCAGGCTCCTTCATGTCATCGTGCCAACAGGAAGGTCAGCATACCAAAAGTCTTGAGAAAATTAAGCAAGCGGATCTCAACTTGTGGAGTAGAAGGCACAAAAATCATACATGGAGCTGATGTGAAAGGCACTAAAGACAATGCAATGATTCCTTCTTCACTTAGGTTTGAGCTTAAATATCATTGTAGAGACAGGAAAATCATTGGTGGGGGTGTGTTTCTTTGTTTTTGTTTTTGTTTTTTTTTTACAAACAAGCATTTGCACACATATGCATACATACAGTTAAAAAGCACATATATGATAGGCCTCTGATCCTGCTGAAAAGCAAAGACATAGGCTTAAACACATTCCCATGGATTACATACACCTAAACTTTAATGAAAACCCTGCAGCACCTAGCATACACTAGTGGAGATGCTGCAAGTGAACGTTTTTGATTGTATAAAGATTGTACCTTATTACAGTGCAAAAACATCCACCATGCAAATGACAGCTCTATAAAGGATTAGCATCTTGGGTTTCCAACTTTTCTAATTCAATCTTTAAAAAAAATTGTATTGTATATTGAGCTTCAACTGTGTATTTCAATATTCTATGAGAAAAGCCTCCTCTTAATCATCCATTTTCATAAACAATAATTTTCTGCAAAATACACAGAAATATTACTATGCCAAAGCTGTAAGTATGTGAAAGTAGTCAGAGTACATGATGCAACTGCTTTCCCGACAGAGGCTCTTGCTGAAACAGTGCTGTAAAGCAAATAGTTGCTATATAGTAATAAACCCAAGTTACTTTCTGAACTGTTTCACTGCAAAGGTATTTTAATGCAAGACTGGTTATAAAACACTATTAACATTCAGATTTGTAGGGTCATAGACTAAAACCAATGTAATTTTCAGCAGTCTTAACATTTTAAGAGATTTAAGATCCTTCATACGACAACTTTCCAACTCCTTCTTGACACAATTTCCTTCCTTGCAATGACAATTCTGTGGAATATTTCCAGTTATGTTTATATAATGTCTATTTTCAGGTTATTATAAAATATGTGGACTTAAGAGAAAGCAGAAATACTTCTATGTTATATGAAGATGTGTTGGTATCATCTTTATGAACTTAACAGGGAGTTTTCTTCTTCCTTAAAAAAAAAAAATCCTGCTATTTTTATTTGCTGAATGTCATCATGAATCTGACTGTGAAATGAAGTGTCTAAATTGTTGTAGCCCCCAAATGGGACAGAATCCCAGAAATGTGTTTTAACTAGACCCCACTGTATGAATTAATACGTCTGAGCACAACCTGGCAACAAATTGCAAGAGACACCAACATCCTCTTTGTTATTCAAGATGATAGGGGAATGTTGACCTCCCGTCTCCTATCAGGGCATCCTTATCCATCTACCCTTGTCCTTTGGAGAATAATCACATGCATAGCAATAGGGACAATGAAACACTTAGAAAAAGCACAAGGGAATCACTAGCATTCATATGTCTGGAAGAGCTTTTAAGGTTACATCTGCCTTAGAGTTTTATTAAAGTGCAGTTCTGAAGTAGGTCCCAAGTTGTATCCAGTCTCCATTCTTTGATTTACACCACAGAGCAATTTCTGAATGCAAACCCTGCATTTTTCAGATTAAACTAGTCAAAGGATGCTCTCCAGAAATGCACTTTCCATGCTCCAGCTGATAATACGTATCCAGAGCATGGCAGAAGATTAAAGCTTGCCCAAACAACTTCCCCAAAATTCATACAGTGTTGATAGGTGGCATCGGTAATGATCATCGTACTCAACAAAATCACTTATATTGTGTCACAGTGTTTCCTACCAGGGATAAAGACCACATCTTTTCTTGATGGAAGCCACAATCCACCCAGTTTTTTACTACTTTTTTTTTTTTTTAAAGGCAAACTCTGTTCCTATTTTAGCCTATGTCCACAAAGAGATGAATTAAATAGAATGCATACCCTGTGAAGGAGTCTTGAACTGAACTGGGAAAAGGAATAGTGACAGTGAGTCTCAACTCATTTTTACGGCAAGAGCCTTTACAATAAAACAGGGAGACCACAGGGAGATCACTTGATATAATCTGACATAATTTATATAAAATGACTACACAAAACATCAGAGCCTCAATAACTTAGCAATGAATTAAAGAAGGAAAGTTTTTAATCAAAACCAAACAAATTAAGGAAACAAAACCTCAAGCATTTCTTGAATTTATCTGCAATAATTTGGTGTGGGAATGCTGCACTAATACAAGACTTTCTCTATGAGCAGAAAATGGTATTGGAGTCATAAAAGTGAAACAATGTATTCATAACTGATTTTATGAACAGTGACATTATGATGAAAACAGTAAAACCGTGATGCATTTAAAAACAAGCAAGAAAATCCTACATCTCCTTTAGCATTCCTCTAGAAACTTCCCTCTTGAACTTACTTGTGGTGCAGTTGTTGAACTCTATGTCATCTATTGCTGCTCCGCCTCCTAGGTCTCTGGTACGAATGCCTTCAAAGATGACTTCAAAATTCCTCAGTTTCCCCAAGTGTAACTCAACTTTCTTCCACTCATCACCATGATTTCCTGATTCACTCCATATTTTCAAAATCCCATAATCAGTCTGAAGTTTGAATAAAATATATATAGTAAGATACATGTAAGTACAGATTATCAAATGCCACTTTTGGAAAAAAAAAAAAAACCAAAACCCCAAAAAACAAATGGAGAGAAGACTGGAAGACACCCCTTCAGTTTTGTCAAGAAATGGCAAACATGTGTTTTGCTATGATAATAGGAAAAGTAGTTAAATGAGATGATTGTCATGCAGATCACATAAACATCAATAGTAGATGGAGTCTTGGTACAGAAATTACTAAGTGTATGATCGAACTCCAAAACAGTCCATTTTGGTAGAGTTGTATTTAACTTCATATAATCCTGAGATTCATTCTTTGTGTTTAGAATATATTACTGGATGCAAAGTTAGTCTACCATTTTAAAATTAGGGTATCGGGTAGGTAGAATCTTTAAACAGTTGTGACAATGGTAATACAAGGGAGGAAAAACTAACAAATATAAGATAATCATATGTTTAGTATAGTTTATTTGAAGGTAAATAAGAGTATTCTGACTTTCAAATACGCTAATATATTTTAAAGCTTTTCTTTAAATGTCCAATCATATCACCTAACTGGCAAGTCAGCAGCAAACAGCATGCTTCATTTTTTAATGCAGATGCACCAGTTTCAATTGCTGTGAATGGATAATACGTATATACAATGGTGCTGGAAGTAAATATTTACAGAAGCTTTGTATGTGTCCAAATTTATTTTTCTTTATGACTGTGTGACTAATCATCCAAATTGTAAATGAGAAATTTTTTGCTAGTCTTTTCTTATCAAAACCCATTAGTACTCCATCTAGGGTTAATAAAAACACTGTGCGATGCACCAAACAGCTAAATGTAATGCATAACAAAGGTTCTAAGAAAGTAGTACATGAACAAGCAAAATCTAAGGAAAATAGAGACAAGAGTAAAAATAGGCAGGGAAGCAAACTAATTACATTTCTTTATACATGATGAACCTGTTAGATCAGATTTATGTTAATAAGATTGTGTTATGCACATTTATGATGAGAAAATGAATCTTGGTGCTTTAGATATTATATTCTGAATAGAAAAGTGCAGACAAGCATGCACAAAAATATTATATCAGTTGTTTCTGAATCAGGAACCTCACAGAATTGTTGAATCTTTTAGAAGGAGGTCATCGGACCTACCAAAACATACAGATACTGAAGTGTGGCCTGATGATGGTGTTCTGGAAAACCATCATTAACTGTAGAGGAGTTAGTTGAAAACTAACTTCACTTTAAATTGCTAAATAGGAAAGAAAATACAGGGAAGGGTCTCCATAACTGCATGTAAAGTCATAGATATTCAGCTGAACAACTCTGTTGCTGCACACTACTAATGGTGTTGGACCAGTGGTGAAGCAGCCCTTTATAAGTCACGATGACTGAGCACACAAGCACCTACAGAGGCAAGTTTAGGCATTGTTTCTTCAGTTATGTCTCATCGGTTTAAAGCCAATGACACAGTCTGTTAAAGGGAAGATAATATAAGAGGACCTTTCTGGTGCTTTGCACCTCTAATTCCACAGTCGATGACAATGGAATGGTTATGATCGTTATGATTTTCTCAATGTATTTCTCCCAGTGAGACTCCTGACTCTATCTGCCACCACAACAGAGATCCATTCATTTCATAGAATCATAGAATCATAGAAAATCTGGAGTTGGAAGGGACCCAAAAGCATTACCAAGTCCAACTCCCCGCTCCTTGAAGGACTACCTAAAACTAAACCATATGACTAAGAGTATCATCCAGATGGTCCTTCAACTCTGACAGGTTTGGTGCCATGACCACTTCCCTGGGGAGCTTGTTCCAGTGACTGACCACCCTTCCAGTGAAGAAACCCCTTTCAGGCCTATAATCAATGCAGTTAAGGGGGACTGGAATCAAAATGAGTGTGATACTCTTTCTAAAACTTCCACTGACATTTCAATCTGGAAACACAGCACAGAGGACTCTACGTTAACACTGAGTTTAAAAAGAGTAGATACATACGGTAATTGAAGCTGATTTTAACAGTGGTAAAACAGTTTGGCAAATCTATCTTAACTTTACTCATATTATTCCTGTTCATCAAATATGTAGTCAACAATTTAACTTAATTAGTTCAGTCACTCAACATTATCTATTCCATTGATTGTGGATTATTTTTTAATAACCTCCAATGGAGTATTACATATTATTGGGGTAACTTGCTTAGTCTGCAAACATCTTCCATCCATCCATTATGTGAATAAAATGGATGGTTATGATGAGTTACATTTGGCTTAAAGGTCTCCAACATGGAATACAAAAACAAAACTTAGAAGAGAAGCACTTTTTGACATTTAATCCATTTGTTGTATCTGGAAGCTTTTCTATCTGCCCTTGAGAACTCTTTGGAATAGAAAAATTTCCCAAACATTATTTATAAGAAATTACTGATTAATTTTACAAAAGTAAATCAGTGCTGTGTATTAGTGGTGAATTTAGAAGACTTAAAATGAAGTGGACAATAATAATACTAAATGATACAGGAATTCTTTCATGCACTTAAGTGAGAGAGAAAAAATCAAAACTTGTATCTATCCTAACGTTAAGCCCCGTCTCTATAAAAAAATTACATGTGTTTAAGTCTGGATGTATGGAAATCAGTGGAACTTCTTAAAATATATGGAGATAAATATTTATATAAAATCTGGAAATGTTAAATGTAGCACAGTTAACCAGAATATGAGCCTCAGGTCTGCTGTTAGTCTGATTTTGATTGATTTCACATTATATTTTATTACATAACATTCTCTTCAGACTTATGTTATGTTTATCACATTGATTTTTGAGTAAAGGATGCTGTGAGTAACAAGTAATACTGATCACATATTTCTTTAGAAATATCCACATGAAAATGTTGTAGCAATCAATTTGTACATGGCATCGTAGCCATAAAGAATCAAATCCTTATGCAGTTACAGGAACTGGAGCATTTTTTTTTCCACAGTGAGACACTGAAATCCTTTTTGTTAGGAAGATTATTTTTTTCAGATAGAAACTTTACAACAGAAATGGCAGTCTCCTTGCACTCCACTAATTCTTGAATATGAGTACACAAATAAAATACAGAAGAGAGACACATTTCTTTTCCTGCCTGGGTTCAACAGTAGCAGTTCCTATACAACCACAGCACTTCATAAAGCGTGAAAGGCTGATTTTTCACTTGCTCAGCTACAACTGTACATAACAAAATGAAAAGCAGCCTCTTTCCCTGCATAACTGCATGAAGGCTGTTTTAATCCAGAGTGAAAAGTCCCTTCAAAAACAGAAACCCTGCACATGTCTGCATGAAACAGCCAAGGGAGAGGTGGTAAAGGGAGACAGAAGCAGGAAGGTTGGCTCTCCTCCTCTCCCCAGACAGTGGAGCTGGCTTGGCTAGGGGGTGTAAGCTATACACTTCTTCTGGATACATACTTGGCATGAGAAGATCATTGCTTGTAAGCTTTGCAGATTCCATTTCATGAATTATTGTTTTGTTTTCTGCATTCTCCAGCCATTTAATCTGTCTGGTACTTTGACATTTCTTTCATATCTTTGGAATGTGTTTGCTTCTAAACCAAACACAAATATGGCCTGAGGGGGGGAAAAAATCAGTCTGTGCTTTGACCTGTCCATTGCATCCAGAAATCTTTTGATCTTTTTCACTCTTATATAAAAATATTTATGTAAAAGACATATATGACAATCAGAATAAATCTGCTTCAGTGTAGAGGAGGCTGGAGGCCACAGTTTCACCTTTCTTTCTGTTTTTATGAGGCTATTCTTCTACTGATACATACTCATATTGAGTATATAAATTGCTCTTCAACCTGGGCTGGTGGCAAAAGGCCTGGTCAAACTCTATGCTCCAACAGACTGATAAAAGGTGGTTAAGGTCCATGACTTTGGTGGACAGTATCAGGGCTGCTTCCGTGAGCATGGGTTGATTATGCTGGCTGTTGGTCAGGGTGGAAATCCCATTTTCCAGTTACCCTGAAGGAGTCTAGCAACATGTGGTCCTTTATGAAAAGAAAAAAAAAAAGGAAGCCTCTTTTGGCATTGTAAGCATCATATCCCAGGCTCCACGTATCCTTTGCTACACTTACTTGCATGTAATCCCAGTCTCTCTTTTCCTCACGCTAACATTTTTGTATGAAAGCCACGTTATTATCTTCCTTATATCTCATTACATTTGCCTTGGCCTTCCTTCCAGTTCAGATTTGTTCATCTCAGACTCTACCTTACATTCCTAAAAGCATGTCATCATCCAGTTTCCCATTTGCATCCTCTTATTGTCTGCATTTCTACTCCAGCTAAACAGAGTGATAAACAAGATTCTTGCATCACTTAAACCACCAGCCTACTATCCTCAGCCAAAGAGGGTATTCAAAAGTAACATGAAAAAATAGCATCTAGAAACCAGTGTACATGAAAGGAAAAACCCTTATCTTTCCAAACAAAAGGCTAAATCGCAGTTCTGAACTATGAGACAATTACAATTTTTGTCTATACATATATGCAAGTCTTTGAAAGAGGAAAGAAGACACGGTCTCAGATCTCCCTGACGCAGAATGCACAAGCAAAATATTTTTGCCCTAAAAACTTGGTCAAATCTATTTTTTTTATCAAGATATCTCATTTGACAGCAAAATGCTAACTATGACACATCACTGCTAACACATGACAACCACCAGATTTTTTTCTGTTCAGAATAAAATCTCATACTACCTCTTCAGTATCTTTCTGCAGATGTCTCCCTCAGTTGAGGGGAAACATGGCTGAAATAATTTAATCTTTCTTCCTTTTGTTTCCTCTTATGACTTGTGAACAGCCCCACAATCTGCATGCCACTCAAGCCTGTAATTTTAACAGTGCTAAAATCCTTTTAAATTCTTATGCAGTCTATATTTTGTAAACTTTTTCTGCATAACATCTCAAAGAACAACGTAAATTAAAATTCAGAAGTTCTCATAATC